ATTTTTTTTTTTTTTTTGGTAAAAGACTGAAGAGATGGCCCAAAAAGATAGAAAGGGGCAAATAGACCTTACCCATAACCTTTATATTTGTGCGTGATACAAGCCCAATAGTATTGCATACATCATAACCTGCATATACCACAAAGATCCTATTAGAAGCCTAAGAATGATTATCTCTTAATCTAGTATACTGTCGATCATGTTCCAATTATAAAAGGACCCAATAAATCTAAAAGGAGATCATCAAGGTTGACAATAAATTGAGTCATGTTATGTTTTTGTGATTTACATCTCTTCTCATCACTTCCCCTTCTTCATTGGTTCTACCACAACTTAATTCAATAGAAATCCCAAAATTAAAATATAATTTTTTTACCATCGATGTTGTTTGCCACAAGTGCACTACATTCTGATCCACAGCGTGATGGACCCCCGCAGTCCTACAAAACCAAGAGAGCGTCAAAACAAGACATGAAATGAGTTAGTCAATAATGAATACTCAATATAGCCTATTAGGCTCATCAATATTAAGATTATAAATCTGATAATTTCCAGAAGGAATTACCAAGCAGTCAACACATCTAGGTGGGTCATGATTGAATAACATCTCATCGCAAAGCTGCTCCAAAAGAAAAAAAAAAAACTCAATCATGAATCAACTACAAGTAAAGCCATATCAAGTGAATAACTGTCTCTAAAAGGCCATTGTCTAGCTGGATCAACCATAGCATTTGAACTCTAATCTAAAAGCTACTGAGCCTAAATTCAACAAGGTTCTAGTACAATCCATTGCAGCATTGAACCATCAAAATTCCCAACTTAAGTAACTTAACATGAACAAGTCAATTATCAGACACAACAACCAACTGGGTATTTTTACATAAGCACATAGGAATCAAACAAGAAAGGGTAGTTATACAGCCTAAAATGTATGGAAAAAGCTCATAGTAAAAATAAAAATCACTAATTCAACAAAGAAATAAAATGTGACCTGATGGAGCCAACCTGAAACCAGAGCACAGTCTCATTCACAGCCACCTTATAGAATCTGCAGCAATTACATAAACGAATTTCAGTTAAATCACATCTGCCCCATTAAAAATACTATCAAAGAAAACAAAATACTCAAAATACTATCAAAGAAAACAAAATACTATTCAATTATCCATTTTTTAATAAACTATAAATTCCCAAAAGCCATTTCAAGTTTTCAACTTTGAGACTGACCATTAAACTAACCGTCAATGTTGAAAAGCGCCTAGCTTTAAGTAACAAAAACAATTTTTTTTCTCAAATTTTTTTTTTTTAAAAGTTTGCAAATTTAAATCAATTCCGACCTCCTACACAGTCACAAGAGATTCCACAAGCTGAACCAGCGAGTATTGACAAAAAAATCAACTAGTTTATTGCATTAGTTTATTTCAATAACTCTTGCAACCAATCACGAAAGATTCCCGTGCAACTGAGAATAAAAAATGATAACATAAACAATAAGTAGTCACATTAAGTCCCATTTTTTTAGCTGGAAATCACGTCATGCAAAATATAAACCGCCCAGATCAATAAACAAAATTACAACACTAAATGGAGAGAAAGTACTCACCCGTCTTCACTGAGGACACCGTGAGGGAACATAGCGAGAGGAGTGGCCAAGCTATAGTTAATGCGCTTGTCATGGTCAGTGAAACTGAGTTCACAGACGGCGGAGACCGAGTAAACACGGAGAAGAACAAGAGCTAAGAGAATGATGAAAAGCCATTTTAATAAATCGCCTCCCATCTTCATCATTGTAACCGACGAGCCAGGAATTTTTTTCGGGGGGTTTTAAATTTGTTTACCCTTTTTCCTGATGTTTTATTTTATCTCATTGTTCAGAAAGACCAGGACTCGGGGAGAGGTCCGAGATGGGGAAAATGGCACAAGAGAAGAAAACAATTACGACTTCGCTGCTTGACGAAGAGTTTAAGTTTTAGTTTAATTTTGTCAAACCCACAAGTTTAGAAGTATTTCAACAAGCCCCCAAAGCTTTTGTTTGTTCCTTATAATAATATTTTAATTAATGTAATCAGTATTGATTGAATAATCAAATCAGCATTGTGACATCACCCAACTTCAAAATTTTACTGAAAAAATAACTAAGGGTGCGTTTGGCTAATTGTTTTTATCTATATTCTCAATCCTATCCTTCAAATGTTGTTTGGTAAGTTATTCCCAAAATATTAGTCTATTTTTTGTTAATTATTTTAGACCCCATAATTTTATTAATTTCATTAAATATCCCCCAGAAGAAAAGTTTAAAAACTAACAGAGACACCCCCACCCACAATACTTGCCAGATTCCAGCAACCACCGTCAGTGGTAGCCGGAATCTATCACAACAGTCACACGACCACCGAAAATGGTCGGTATTGGCCAGATCTGGCCGTCAGCGATGGCCAAAGAAATGACCGGTGTTGACTATCAACGACGGCCATATCTTTGGCCGTAGCTGACGGCCAAAGTTGGCATTTTTCGACCGTCAAAGGCCACATCCGACCTTAGATCTGGCCTTTTCCGGCTAGATCCGTGGTGGATATGGCCGGAAAAGGCCATATCGATCGAATACCCACCAGATCCGACTGAATTTTGTTGTTATCCAATTTTCCGGCCAGATTCCGACGGTGGTGGCCAGAATCTGGCACTTTGGGTGTTAAGGGTGTTTTTGTTATTTTACAATATTTTAATATATTAGGGTGTTTATTAAATTAACAAACCTTAGGGGCTTTTTTATAATTTTTTAAATTTTATCTCGTAATACTCCCTTATTTAACTATTCAATACTATCCTTAAAATCCTACCCAAAATAATAAACCAAACGCACGCTAAATTATCTCACTGTTTTCTACTGTGTCGTGAAATTTTTTACAGAGATGAAGGTACCCAGATGTGAAAATTGAGACAAATCTTTAGAGTGAATGTTATTTGTCAATTGTTAATTAATAGTGGTTTGGTACTTAGGGCCAGCGACAAAATGACAGCCATGTTCACTGCTTGTTTCAATTCTGGATTGCAATTTGCAAGCAGCAAAAATCATATACACCCAACAAATATGGCAAATCCCAGCTAAAACCTCTGTAATAATTCATCATATATCTTTATAGAGCTAGTCTTCCCTGGACAAACACAAATACATCATCTAGATTTTTCAGAAGATGAACTGGATATACAATAATTCTGATAAGATTGCATACCATTCCCGAGTTGCTTCGCAAGTTCAAAATTTGAACATTTCCGCAGCTCCATGCACACAGATCAATCTGATAAGTGTTCATGACACTCATTGCACAGATATCATGAAGCAAAATGTAGACATAAGGTCGTTAATTGGATGCTGGTAAAGCTGGATAGATATCGTTCGAAGCAAGAGAGCAAGTAAAAAAGCAAATTGTTGCAGAAAATAAAGAATAAAACAGATTCAACATTTGGACTAATAGCCACACACACATGCAGGCATAGGGTTTAACACGTTATAAATCAGTCAATCCACCTGCACAAATACAATTACTGCTTATGCGAAGATAATAGCACATAACAAAAAGAACGAATCCTCTCAAAGTTACTTCCTTGACAACTTAATATAATGATACTTAATGAATACTTCTTCCACGACCATTTCATGTACTAGTGTTTCCTGAATTTGACAGACAAAACCTTAGCTGCTACTCTCTCTTTCGTTATACTCATCATATCCAATCTTACAATAGAACATCCAAGAATTCATGAATCAGGGAAAAGTATTAAAGACAGACAGAAATAAGAATGATCAAAACCTTTCTGCCAGTCTAGCACTAACTGCTCTAAGTTTTGAGTACACTTTTCCAGCAGGTGAACCTAAAATGAGGCTGCAAAGTGAATCCCTTGCAATTTTAATGCTGGCAAAAGATCCAAGTATGTGAATTTTTGTGTCAGCAATCACAATCCTTGTCCTTGTCGTATTTTCAATAGTAAACTTTGTTTTGCCACCTTTACCAGACAGCCTTCCGATAGCACGAGACAAATGCTCACCACGAAGTGTTTTGACATCCTTGATCTCAAAAGATTCCACATACAGCTCATCAATACGCAAAAGAGCAATAGCATCTATAACATCGAAACCTAGCATGAATGCGTGCACAAAATCCGCGCACTTCTGTAGGTTACTAATGTCTGGTGTGTCTGGTCTAGTCTTCAATTCAACTCTACGAGCCTTGAGATTCATACGGATGTCAATCTTCATCTGCTCATATACCGGAGTGTAGATGTCCATCCATGCTTTCTTGAGAGGTGAATACCGATGAGGTGGGACAGAGACCCTCCGAAACTGCACTCGACCATCAGACATCTCATGTGCCTTCAAAGGCTCAAACTGTGGCTTTGGTGGCAAAGAGCCAGACTCCTTTTGGGTTTGAGATGAAACTGTTTCAACTTCCATGGTAGCAGGGATTTGTCTGAACTGTATAGTGCAAAAGCAAATTCTTCCCTTAAAAAAATTCTGATAGATACGCATAAATGCAAATTTCATACTGTTAGCCACGCTGTGGCTCCATTCATTTTCAAAATTCCAATTGGAAATCAACTATTACCATTAAAAACAAGAAAAGCAATGGCCAAAACAATAACCAAACAAGACTAATACATAAACCAGCTTTAAATGAACCCAGCAAACAATCAAAGAAAATGCACGTTCACTTCCCTGACTGTACCACGGCACCAGGCCAAATAACTGGCAACATTACTCGAAAGGTTTGATTATAATATAAATGATTTTTCAGTTATACAACTATTTTATATAATACCGTCCCTAAACTATAGTTACATGAAATCAAAACTTTGCTACTCATAACTAAACCATAAATTATCGGCACAGTGTTAACACAGGGCTGGTGTCCTAGTATAACCCTTACTTCACATCAAAAACTGATAACTCTAGCAATACACAAGTATAAATATGTTGAAAATTGAATCCTATCACCAAACCTAGCAAAGATAGGAACACATAGAAGTTTCAAATTTTATTCATCTTATTTAAAAAAGATGAGAGGAGCTTGACAAGAGGATTTAATTTACCTGATACGAGCTTTCTTCTCCGATCGATGTCGGCTACCGACGGCGCAGTTTAAGGCTCGAGAGAAGTAAAGCTGAAAGGGGTTGGCGGCAGAAGGCTTCCGAGTATTTGTAAGTGCCATACTATTTTGATACGACACCGTTTGGTCACTGTTAACCTAGCCTGTGGATTTAATTAATAACTACCTGAGGATATAATTGTAAAATCAGTACTTAATTTGGCTATTTTCTAAATTTTAAAAAATGACCATTTTTCCTTGTTTATCCAATAAATGGACAATTTATTGGAATTCCCTCGTAAATATTTAACCACTCCATTGGAGAAAACGACGTGTTTCGATGCCGTTTTGGTTCGTAATGCAGTAATAGCCTAATAGGTATCGGTGCCTAAAAGAAATTTCGAAGCGCGCTTCTCTGGAACTCTGTAACTGCTGCTACTGCTATGGACTCTAGCCCCAACAAAGCGTTAACGGACACTCGCTTTTCCGATCTTAAGCCGCCGCTCTCCGATCCGGTTCTCGAAGCCTTGACAGAAGCCGGCTTCGAGTTCTGTACGCCAGTTCAAGCCGCCACTATCCCTTTGCTATGCAGCTATAAGGACGTCTCTGTCGACGCCGCCACCGGCTCCGGTAAAACTCTAGCTTTTCTTGTCCCTCTCGTGGAAATCCTCCGCCGCACCACTTCTCCTCCAAAACCTCACCAGGTCCCTCTCTTGCTTGAAGTACATAGAAAAGTTCCAATTTTTAGAAGACCTCAAAGGACTGAATTAAGCTTTTACTTCAGTTAGCTGGAGATTTTTAGTTGAATAATTTGTATTCTTGTTATTTTAATTGCCCCATTTTTTAGCTGTTGTTTTGGTGAGATAAGTAATTGGATTTGCTATGTTACAGGTGATGGGAATGATTATATCGCCAACAAGGGAGTTATCATCGCAAATTTATCACGTTGCTCAGCCTTTCATTTCTACGTTGTCGAATGTTAAGGCTATGCTTCTTGTGGGTGGTGTTGATGTGAAAACAGATATGAAGAAGATAGAGGAGGAAGGAGCAAATTTATTGATTGGTACGCCTGGGCGGTTATATGACATAATGGAACGTATGGATGTTTTAGATTTCAGGAACCTTGAGGTAGTTTTTTTGAGAATTAAATCAATTCATGTTAATTACCAAGATGTAGCAAGTTTTATTTTTTGTATAAGCAATTGAGAATTTGCTATATGCAGAAGTGGCATTGATTATGTTTGTTAAATGCGGAGATGACTGGATTAGTTACAGCTGTTTGGTTAATGCAGATTTTGATTCTAGATGAAGCTGACAGACTCTTAGATATGGGATTTCAGAAACAGATAAGTTACATAATATCTCGTTTGCCAAAGCTTCGTAGAACTGGTCTTTTTTCAGCTACTCAAACGGAGGCTGTTGAAGAGCTGTCCAAAGCAGGGCTGAGGAATCCTGTGAGGGTTGAAGTTCGAGCAGAAGCAAAATCGCAGCCTGGTTCAGCATCATCTCAAACATTAGCCTCTTCAAAAACACCTTCAGGCCTTCACCTTGAGGTATGCTGCATGTGGATTTATTTATTTACATTTATGTTGCATTTGGCTACGCAGAACTGGAATTGAATTGAATTGAATTTCATAGAATTGCAATAAGATATATTAGTATTCTGTAAGACTGGAATTCCACTATTTGTATTCAACCTTGAGTTAACCTAGAATTAATGATATTCCTTCTTCTCAAAGCCATAATGATTGCATGCAATAGTGAATGTTCATTTTCTTGGTTTTCAAAACTTATTGAGTCTTTGCAATTTGCATTGAAATTGATTTCTTCTTTGATTCTGCAGTATTTGGAATGTGAAGAAGATAAGAAACCATCACAACTCATTGATCTCCTCATTAAGAACAGTTCTAAAAAAACTATAATGTAAGTTCTACGTGGACATTTCTCAAAGGATGGATAGTGCAATCTCTTTGAAACTAGGGGCCAATGAGCTATCATAATTGGTTAAAATGATTTCCTTCTTGCTTCAGATATTTTATGACTTGTGCTTGTGTTGACTACTGGGGAGTTGTTCTTCCGCGTTTGGCTGTTTTAAAGGGTCTTTCTTTGATCCCCCTTCATGGAAAGATGAAGCAGGTAATATTTTGGATATTGGAATAGTTTTTTAGTCTCTAAGATTACAATTTTGTAGTGCCCATTCTGTATTCTGACTTATTTTAACTTTTTACGCCCATAGACTGCTAGGGAGAAAGCATTAGCTTCATTCACGTCCCTTTCAAGTGGCATTCTTCTATGTACTGATGTTGCAGCACGTGGACTTGACATTCCCGGTGTTGATTGTATAATTCAGGTAGCTTTGCAAAATACACAAAAGTACACTTTTGTGATTCATGTAATTTTACAAATGCTGATTTTTTGTTTGTTACTTTTGCAGTATGATCCACCTCAAGATCCAAATGTTTTCATTCACCGAGTTGGGCGAACTGCTCGATTGGGTAAACAAGGAAGTTCAATTGTTTTTTTATCACCAAAGGTATTTTTTGTGCATCTGTTTGGTGATTATTTGGTAGACTTGTTTTCCTCTAAAGAAAAATTACAAGGTGAATGTTTATTTGTATTTATGCAGGAGGAAGCTTATGTAGAATTCCTGCGCATAAGAAGGGTTCCTCTACAGGAGAAAAATTGCACTGATGATGTTTCTGATGTAGTTCCTCAGGTAAGCACAATTTCTACAGTGGATACTCTTCCCATGTTATGCTCATGGTTTGAATTTGTTCTGGATATGTCTTGCTATTAGCAAAAAGAAAATGATTATAGGCGGAAATTGATATTAAACTCTAGAACCATGGCCCAGCTGGCCCGAAATAGTATCTACATTGTTTTTCACCTTTATTTTATGGCAATTGATCCAATATCTGACCACAACTTGTTTCAGATACGGTCTGCTGCCAAAAAAGATCGTGATGTGATGGAAAAAGGACTCAGAGCATTTGTTTCTTATATCCGTGCATATAAAGAGCATCAATGCTCTTACATCTTCAGGTTACTACTGCTTTTCTTTTAGTCTATAGCTGTTTGCTTTTATCTATTTTTTTATTAACACATTTTTTCTTCTCTTGTATTTTACAGGTGGAAAGAACTTGAGATTGGTAAGTTGGCTATGGGCTATGGCTTACTACAGCTTCCTTCAATGCCTGAGGTAAAGAACCATTCACTTTCCACCAAGGGTTTCACTCCAGTTGAAGATATCAATTTGGAGGACATCAAGTATATGTAAGAATTCACAGGCTCTTGTTGATTCAAATATTCTTTTCTTCATAGTTTTAAGTATGAGAGGAAACTATGATTCTTGTATTAGAACCATCAATTTTTATTTTTATTTTTCTCTCTACTATGTGCTTTTCTACATGTGCTGTGATAATATCAAGCCTGCAATAATAGCTAAAAATAATCATTTTTCAATTAGGGACAAATATCGTGAGAAACAAAGGAAGAAGAATCTGCAAGCAAAGAAAGAAGCACAACAGCAAGAACCAAAATTCCAGAAACCCAACAAAACACCAAAGGATGCAACTACTGTTATGAGGAAGAAAACAGCCAAACAGAGACGTGCTTCCCAAGCAGTTGAGGATGATGATGAGTTGGCACGAGATTACCGTCTACTCAAAAAGCTGAAAAAGGGAAACATAGACGAAAGTGAATTTGCGAAATTAACTGGAACTGAAGAGTTACTTTGAAGTGCATGTCTAAATTATGCAGGTTGTGGTCTTGCGAATTTAGATGTTGACTGGGTTTTGGTGGGACTCAAAATGAGAGACAGACTTTAGACCCATCAATAGTCAGGTTCCAGCACTTCTACAGATTAAATGCCATCGTCGTAACAGAAAACTGGTGACAGACAACTTCAATAGTGATGGAGCTTCACTCTTGGTTAGTTCCCTTGTGAGGTCTTAAGTGAGTGGTAAATTTTGGTGCTGAGAGACCTTTTCTTTTTCCTGGTAATTCCATGCATAGCGTTGTTAGGTATTGTTAGGTCAGACATAAGAGATATGCAGCAAAAGTAGAGATGTTAACACAAAAATGTACCTCAACATTTAGTCATTGGCAATGAATGCAAAAATATTTAATAAAATTTTTAAACTGATGGTATATTGAATTGTCGATTGTAAAATTAGCCCTGGTTAAACTGGGAATTGACTATTGACAGGATAGTTCCTATAGCTCTGCCATGAATATGGATAAAGAACAGTGGTGTAGATGCAACTTCAAAGACTTGCAGAATTAATATAGTCACGTGACCATCAATATTATCATCTATTAGACAGCCTGCTTGTCTTTCACCAATTACAATGAAAAAGTTCTACTTCCTTTATTCTTTGTGCTACCCAATCTTGAATTTAAACCAACTTAGATTCCAAAGAGATAGCACAGTGGCACTTCCCTTTAAAGGTTTAATTTTTTAATTTTAATTTTTTTGTGATCAGGTATGTGAACTAGTTTATACTTATCTTAACTAACTCGTGGCAAAGGTCTATTGGGATTCATTGAACACTTCACAAGCTTAATGGATCAGTAAGTCACAATATAATAGATGATCATTTAGTGGGACTCGCACACAAGATTTTCGGGTAATCTAAGGTGTGGCCATTTGGTAGGAGTCGTACACAAGATCTCTGGGTAATTTAAGGCTTGTCATCCGGTCACAAGTCAAATGGTTAAGTTTTATTTTATCGTTAAAAATTTTCTAAATGTCCTATGGATTTAGAGGTTTTTTTTTTTTAATGAGAAATTATAAAAATACCCTTATGTAAATGCTGGAAATTTTTAATTAGGGTAATTACTTTACAACTATATTTTAAATATTAAGATAACTTATACTTGAAAAGTGAGCAAAGAACAAAGATTCTATAGAATCTCCACTAAAGAAAGAATATTTCTAAACGCTTACACAAAAGTAAAAAATCCAAAACTTTATTCTTTAATTATGATTTATTCAATTCATTCATAGAATTTTCATAAATTTAAATATGAATATATATATAAGATTTAAAATTCCCACCAGTGGAAATGTGGAATAAGTATAACGATGAAAAGAACAAGAACAAGACCTAGACCAAGACAGAAGTAATTCCAGAACAG